CAACTGCAAGAATGGGGACTACGAATACCAGAGGCTTATCACCATTTCCTCTGACAAATGATAAATGCTGAGTTTTTTAAAAGTGCACCGGTGCTGTTATCTTCATTATTATTCTTTTTGATCTGCTGAGCTGGTTATAGAAAAATCAAAATAAGTTCAACTGTGGGGTGGAAAAATCAAAAGCAATTTTATTCCTAAGTGAAAGACAAATGGAATTACTTACAGGAAACATTTTGAAAAGCTGCAACCTGTAGGCAGTCCATCCTTTTTTGGATTTGTAAATTGGTAAGGGGAATTTGACGTTCCTTGCATATTGAGAAAACAACAACACTAGGAAAATAGTCCTGAGGGAGAGAAAAAAGGATCATAAATCATTAGCATCAGTATGTTAAAACTCCTTTCCATTACAAATACAATATTATAATCTCTTGCAGACATTCTACTACTTAGGTACAGTAGCATATTTTGGTGCTTATCCAAGACAAAACACTTTTATAGAGAGAAAATAAACAGTTTAATAAGTATGAGGCCATTGTAATGAGAAATCTAATCCCGTATGCATGCTTTTAAGTAAATAGGTCAGAACAGAGGGAATGAGATTAAGAGATCTAGGCCAGAGAGATGCATTTTCACAGATGAGAAAGCCACTGAGATTGAGAGATATGGGTTTATTTTTCTTTATAAATCCTGTTTTAAGGCTCTGCCACTATCTATGACAGCACCGTGTGAAAGCACAGAGGTCTATGACTCTATAAGGTCTCACTACTAAATACACAAAGAAAGAGAAGGAAAGGTCAAGAGACAAGTTGGAGCAAGTAATGGAGAGATCATAGTACAATAATTCCTCATTTAACACATGCCCGCTTAACAAATTTTCACGATAGAAGGTTCCCCCCCCCCGGAACGTTTTTTTGAATTACACAACCGTCCCCGGAATAACACGATTTCCCCAGCTGGCCTATTGACAGCAGCTACGCGGGGCTTCCCCTGCCTCCCTGCAAAGCAGCGGAGGGTTTGTTGCTCGCTGCGCCATTTCCCGCTGACTCCCCCTCGCCGGACGCCTTGCCCCCTCTCCTCTGCCCCCGCTTGCAGGCCCTGCAAAGCAATGGAGGGTTCGCTGTGCACCACGCCATTCCCCAGTGATCCCCCTTCACCAGATGCAGTGCGGGTCCTGGCAGACTCGTCACAGCGGCATACTCCCAACCCAATCCCCCTCCCCTCCTCTCCCTGCTGTAACCCAGTCCCGTTTCTCCCCCAACCTTATGTCCCGGTCCCAACAGACACCACTGCTTGAAACGCAACCCCCACCTTTTCCATTATTTTCAATGGGATAACTGACCCCACATAACACGTTTCACTTAACACGATCATTTTCTGAAACATATCTATAGTGTTAAATGAGGAATTACTGTACTTACAGAAAGCCTACCATCTCCAAAGCACTGTGACTATACAAATATTAGTCAATTGAGTTACCAAAAGGCAGTTCTAGCATCAACTCTTGAGGATTTCAACTTTGTGGCATTTTCACCTTCTGACATGTGAATACATTGGTCAAAGATTAATGAGTTACACATTAGCGCAGGGTGAAATTTCACACTTATGCAGAAGGACAGCTCTAGCCTTACACCCCACTTCAGTGATATACAGGACCTGTGCTGGCTCTCTGGCACAGTGGTATAATTCACTTAGCCTTTAGACCAGGGGTGGGCAATAACTTTTGCCTGGGGGGCCACTTCAAATATTTTTTGAAGTAGCCACGGGCCACCCTGGAAGGAGCAGGGCTTAAACAGGAATGGGGTGGGGCCTAAATTGGAAGGGACGGAGCCACCCCACTCCCAGACTATAATTGATCTGGGAGTGGGGGAACCTCTTTGCCCCCCCCTTCTCACTAGGCACCCATGCACTGGAAGAGGCTTGGCATGCTCCCCTACCCCCAGGCCCAAACCCTCCTCCGCTCTCCCTCCTGACCTGCAAGCAGTGTGCGGAAACGCCATTTGCTCCTTCTAGGGCAGGAGGAGGCTTTGCATGCTCCTCTGCCCCCAGGCCCTAATTGGCCTGGGGGCAAGGGAGCAGCAGCGCCTCCGCGGGCTGTATCTACCAGCTTGGCGGGCCAGATCCGACTCATGGAGGCCCTTTTGCCCACCCTTGCTTTAGACTAATACATAAATGCTGCACAGTCAAATAATGAAAAGTGAGCTCTGGTGAAGCCATACTCTAATCCTATCCCATGGTCAAGTTTTTACAAGAAACACAATTTTTCTCTAACAACAGGGTATTTAGCAGTCATGTCTTCTGGGAAGCCAGTAACAGAAAGAAGGAGGAGAAAGTGTTTACAAGTGAAACAAAACACAGGACTCTGTAGCACTTTAAAGACTAACAAGATGGTTTATTAGATGATGAGCGTTCGTGGGCCAGACCCACTTCCTCAGATCAAATAGTGGAAGAAAATAGTCACAACCATATATACCAAAGGATACAATTAAAAAAAATGAACACATATGAGAAATGCATAGCCACTTAGCAGAGACAGCACAAAGCAGGGGAAAGATGCAGCTTGTGTAATGCTGTATTATCATGAACTGCTAAAACCACCCACACAGTTCTGTTAAATATGATACTTACAATGGCAAACAAAAAATGAAAACCAAAAATCCAGCTCTCCCCGTCCCGTCCAAAGCCCAAGCAAGACAATATTTGAAGTTCCACTCAAATTTTAGTGTTGATAATAATAGTGTTTGTTACTTGTATTACAATAATGCCTAGAAGCCCTAGCATCAAGCTACCATTTTTCTTGTGCCAAAGCATCTGACAAGTTTCTGACTGGCCTCTGGGTCACAAGAGCAAACTTCTAGCTTAGAAGGATTAACAAAATTAATTTAGCACCATTTTAAGATTTTACATAACTACTGCTCACACTGTGAAGGAGGTCAATAAAACACGGTATTTAATATTGTACTCAAGCTCACAATAGGTAAAAACAGTCTTAATGTCTAAAAATTACTAACAACTGCCCTGAAGGTCCTACCCAAAGCAGTTATCTCTTATGCGTCTATGGACTATTTCTGTCCCCTCTGCTGAGTTTGAACAAGATATCTTATCTTGACAGTCAGTCTAACTCTAGTGAGTCAAATAAGAACGCACACTACATAAAAACCTATCCAAAATATGTTTTTTGAAATTCCTTTTTGAAATTCCAGGACAGCAGGTTACATCCCCAATTCGAAGCTTTTCTTTTTATCTTTTCCTGTTCCAAATCATCTTTAGTCCAGAAGAAACTAACAGGCTTTGTTTTCCCTCAAAACTTCAGGTGCAGTTTTTTCTGTGCTGTAGTGTCATTCATAATTGCAAAAGTATGAATGATAAGCAGGTAGCTTGCCTTACATTTGAAGTACATCTCTTTAAAAATACATTACTGAAAGATGGACTACCTTTGTAAGTGTAACTGTCTCACCCCAAACCAGAGTCCAACTGGTTACAGATAGCATTATGCAACAGTTATGATAAGACCTAACTAACTAGATTACGTAAAGATGACAGACATCACAAGTTCCCTAATTCAGAGAGGTCACAGGCAGTGGTAAAGCACACAAGTCACTCAGAGTTAGAAATTTAAATGTAATTCCAGTTCTGCCACTGCTTTACTTGAACCATACACAAGTAAACCTCTGTATCTGAATCTGCTGATCTACCATATGGGGGTAATATTAGGCCTGCCAATATTGAGGCTTATGGGAGTCTCTGTACAGCATTTTGCAATCTTTGGATGAAAGACATTAAGAAAACACAGAAATACTATAACTAAATTAGAATACTTTGCTCTAAGTTCCTGCAATATTCCTGAAAAGCATTATTCAATTAATGATAAGTATCTTTGGAATCCATTGTACTGAAACACAAAGTTTATGTATTGTTGTGGGATTTAATGTAATTGCTCTTGGAGGGGGTGGGGTTGGAGAGGGAGGACATGGTCTATGAAAGCTCTGGGATATGTGATGAGCTTCAAAGGACTACAGTACAGGCAGTCCCCGGGTTACGTACAAGATAGGGACTGTAGGTTTGTTCTTAAGTTGAATCTGTATGTAAGTCGGAACTGGCATCCAGATTCAGCGGCTGCTGAAACTGACCGCCAGTTCTGACTTACATACAGAATCAACTTAAGACCCCCAGGCGTCCCCAAGTCAGCTGCTGCTGAAACTGATCAGCAGCTGATTCCAGGAAGCCCGGGGCAGAGTAACTCTGCCTCTGGCTTCCTGTAGTCAGCGCTGGTCAGTTTCAGCAGAAGCTGACTTGGGGACGCCTGGGGCAGAGCAGCTGAGGTGCTGCCGATTGGTCCTGCAGCGCCGCTCTGGGCACTACTGGACCAACTCGGCAGCACCCCAGCTGCTCTGCCCCAGGCGTCCCCAAGTCAGCTGCTGCTGAAACTGATCAGCAGCTGATTCCAGGAAGCCCGGGGCAGAGTAACTCTGCCTCTGGCTTCCTGTAGTCAGCGCTGGTCAGTTTCAGCAGAAGCTGACTTGGGGACGCCTGGGGCAGAGCAGCTGAGGTGCTGCCGATTGGTCCTGCAGCGCCGCTCTGGGCACTACTGGACCAACTCGGCAGCACCCCAGCTGCTCTGCCCCAGGCGTCCCCAAGTCAGCTGCTGCTGAAACTGATCAGCAGCTGATTCCAGGAAGCCCGGGGCAGAGTAACTCTGCCTCTGGCTTCCTGTAGTCAGCGCTGGTCAGTTTCAGCAGAAGCTGACTTGGGGACGCCTGGGGCAGAGCAGCTGAGGTGCTGCCGATTGGTCCTGCAGCGCCGCTCTGGGCACTACTGGACCAACTCGGCAGCACCCCAGCTGCTCTGCCCCAGGCGTCCCCAAGTCAGCTGCTGCTGAAACTGATCAGCAGCTGATTCCAGGAAGCCCGGGGCAGAGTAACTCTGCCTCTGGCTTCCTGTAGTCAGCGCTGGTCAGTTTCAGCAGCCGCTGAATCTGGATGCCAGTTCCGACTTACATACAGATTCAACTTAAGAACAAACCTACAGTCCCTATCTTGTACGTAACCCGGGGACTGCCTGTACTTTAAACAATGTGTCAGATGAGAAGGAACTTCTGGGGAAAAAGGGTTTTGTCCTGGAGCAAGGTGAATCAAATTCCTACCTCCAGACCCAACCATATGTAGTTAAACACTAAAGAGGGAACCACCATCTGCTGATTGTTAGGGTTGACAGATGTCTGGTATTGGCCCGGACATGTAAAATGTCCAGTATTTTCTGTTTTCCTTGGAAGGCCAGTTGGGACATTCTTCCTGCCGCATTTGGTGGGGGGCAGGAGGAGATTTAAAGGTGCAGTGACTTTTTTTTCCTCTCAACTTTGGTCCCCCAGGGGTTTTTTTTGGTTTGTTTTTTGACTCAACCACTCCCCCCTCCCCGCCCCCTGCCATGTTCAGTATTTTTTGTGAAAGTATCTGGCAACCCTACTCATTATCTATTCTCAGAATCTGAAGATTAAAGATCCAAGCTGTATACAGGAGCAATTGACTTACTCATGGGTATGCTTCTTGTCAATTAAACAGTTATGAACTTGAAACCACAGAAAAAGCCCTTTGTGAGGCCTAAAGGACTGATCAACTTACTAAAGGATTAGCTTGGGGGGTGGAGGGATTTCTGGTAAACTTTTTAGCATGCGTGTAGAGTTTTACTGTTCTTCTGTAATGCTTTCACCTTAAGAACAAAGGTTGTTACTTACAAAGAACTTATAATTACGGGCAATTACAGCAGTTTATAGCCTCTGAGGAGTAAGCGAAGTGCAAAGGCAGGACTGTTTAGGCAGATTGAGAGTTCTCCAGCAAACCAGTCTAAGCAGGGAAGCATGAACACTGGAAAAACACCAGTCTTGAGGGACAGACGTAGATTATAACAGCTGAAGAGTTAGGAGCCTAGGGTGGGTGCCATTACTAGATGATGCAGGGGGAATTATGTGGAGCTATCTCGAACTGTGACAGGCCTTATTCACAAAACAGACCAGCATCCTAGACAGCCAGTCTAGGAACTCATGTTTCCCAGTCTTCACTTGGTTCTCAACACACTATGATGTCAAGTATCAGAGGGGTAGCCGTGTTAGTCTGAATCTGCAAAAGCGGCGAGGAGTCCTGTGGCACCTTATAGACTAACTGAAGTGTAGGAGCATAAGCTTTCGTGGGCAAAGACCCACTTCGTCAGATGCATGTCATTATCAAAGAGGCTGACAAAGGAGGTGCTGTTGTCATCGTGAACAGGCCTGACTACCTAAAGGAGGCTGCCAGACAACTCTCCAATACCAAATTCTACAGGCCCACTATGATGTAGGCTAAGATTAGTTATTTCAGCCTTGGACTCTGATTTATGTAACACATGAGGTCAGAAAACTATTTGGGTAATTAAAAACCCCGTGAAACAGGATTAACTACCTGTTTAGCAAAGAATAGTTCATTTACAGGTACTTTTCCGCCTCCCAAGTTAGCAACCCAACTCTTTACAGCATGTCATAACAGTCAAGGTATTTTCATGAGACATTTTTCTGCAGATCAGCCTTTTTTTTTTAAACATACCAAGTTCAGCTGACTGAGGGGACACTGTCCAGTCTTGTACAAATTTCTGCATGCAGGAGCCAGGCAGGATTTACTGACTAGCTGATACTTAACTATTTAATTGCTGTTTCCTACCAACAAACAGAATGGGGAGGGAGTAAAGTCCATCCAATGGGAAACTTGAGAGTTGCTGCTGGGACTGAAACGTAGAATGAAGTTAGGGAATACACAAAGTCATGGATGGAGAAGAGAAAAAGGAAAGTAAAACTGTAAGGCAGAAGTCACACACACGCTAAAGGAATGCATTTTTCTTCAGGAACTGTTGTTCAGTGTGAAGGCAGGAAACCTATATAATGAACAAAAACTAACCAAACATTCATTATTACTAAAAGCTATGGTCTATCCTTTATCTTTTGCAAACCACTCACTGATATCAGCAGAACCACTGTGGAGGAAATTCCTGTGCACCCCTATTTCAATGATCTGCAAGAGTACTTACAACATAGCAATACCCCAGTGTTTGCCTGCTCTCTCTCCTGCAGCCTGGAAACCCGACAGGCCAATCAGAGCCACAGTTGGTGTAATCGTCAGCGGTCCAATGTATCTCAGGAGAGCTCCAGGAAGGCCAAGGAAGCCAATTACCACTTCTATTAAGGAGGACATGATAATCGCCCCTTGGATCTGAACACACAAAGAAGGGGGAAAATGCAGCTGAATTAATTTTGAAATGAATACACTAAACATTCTTTTTCGGCTCTGGGTTATAAACTGCAATTAAAAAATTCTGTGACAAAGCAGGACTCAGCAAACTGGTTATTCTCATACAACAGCTCATTATGCGTTTAAGTGACTTATTGCTTACGTATAACACTTAGGATTTTCTCCACAAAACGATTACCCAACAGACCAATTGGCTGGTTTGGTAGTTGTGTGGATAGCACATCACACTGTCATACAGGAGACCTGGGTTCCAGGCTAACCTTTAAGCTCTCAGTTCGAACCGGCAAGGGCTGGTGGCGCCACGGAGGTGATGCTCTTAGCTCCTAGGGGCAGAGTGTATGCTGCATTGTTCACAAGTGCTCCTTAGAAGCTGGTATAGAGCAGCGTTGTGGTCTCAGGAGACTGCCAGCCTTCTTGGCTGCAGGGCTCTTGGCAGGATGTAGCTATGGTTTGAACATGGGGAAGAGAGAGGGGTTGTTTTAAATTGAGGAAAGATTTGCAGCCCAAAGCAACGGGATGGGAGATAAGTTCCATGACACATGCCTCAACTGGACTATTCTACCTATCCTTCTGTAGTGTGATGTTTGGGCATAACCCCCATCCTGGGCTCTGGAGGACATGAGAAAGTTCATAGATAAATGCTGGAGGTAGGAAAGGAATTGGGCAGACTCAGCAAATCTCTGGGGAGAATTAACATCTCCATCAGAACTGTACCCAGCTTTAGTGATTTGCTAACTGCAGATGGTAATCCTTCAGGAACAGCCTATTGAATTATTGAGCAAGGGTAGGCAAGAATTGGTGAACACAAACTGCACATTCTAAGAAGCAGAATATTAGTCTCCCTTGTGTATTGTACTGTATGACTTTTTGAACATGATAAATGAGTCATTTTATTCCATTTTCAGAAATGAATAAAGAAGCTGGAACAGTTAAGAGTCACATAAAGAAGATAACAGGATATATTCAGATGGAATGGTAGTGAAGGAAGAAATTACAAACTTAAAAAACAAGAACATGTATAGAGGCATGGATGTATAGAGCACGTTAACTGAAATGGGATGATCAACAGAGAAAGGCTACTTATGTTACCTCTCGTATCCTGGGGTACCAGATATGCTCTGTGTGCAGCAGCTCTGTTGTTCCATTAGTAACTGTTACATCTCGGAGGAATACAGAAACATGTTTTAATTTCTGCATCCCATTCAGAATGCTATTATTTAGGAAGGGAAAGATTCATCTAATACTTCAGTAGTAGTTTATGTTTTAGACTGAACAATATTTGAGAAACAAAAATTCCCAGTTCTAGCAATCAGTTTTCAGAGTCTGTTTACAGAACTAGACATGAGTAGCTGTCCTGTGCTAGCTAATTCAGGCGCACAGGGCTCAGGCTGCATGGCTGCTTCACTGCGATTTAAACCTCTGGGCTCTGGCACAGTGGGAGGGACAGAGACCAAAGCACCAGGACTCTGCATTTTGGAGGGTCCCAGAGCCAGAAGTCTACATGGCAATCAAACAGCCCTGCAATGCAAGTCCAGGTCAACTGGCCAAGGGCAGCCGCAGGTTTTCATTTGAAGTGTAGACACATCTTCAGAGAACTAAGACAGCACTTCCTAAGGATTAATCACCAATTCCCTCATACACCAGAGTGGAAAATCCTATTTTGCCAAATGTAAGGATCAATTATGGATTCTTTCCATTCCAGTAAAGAACTGAATGAGAATGTATTAAATCGGGAGAATCACTTGATTTTCTACCATGTCTAAAACAGTCGAACAAGTTCATTAGACTGCAATAATAGCTCACGAGTGACCCCTTTAGAAGGCTAGAAATGGTGAAGAGCAAGACAAAGCAATGGTACTTTTCAATCATGAAAAACTTCTATGCAGGAATAAGTCCCAACAGAGTGTGTACTTCTAAGTTGTTAACACATGCTTCAGCGCACTGTGATGTATCATGTTGAAAGCAGATAATCTTCAACCACCATGTAGCCTACTAATGTACACATTACCATGGCTTATTGCCATTAACACTGGAAATTTGTGTGTAATTTCATAACACCCAAGTTTGCATATTCTAAACTATAGACCTGGATATCTACCTTCTAATATTTGAAAACTCACTAGGTTTTGTATAAAAAAGTGAGAAGTGAAAAGAAGGAGGCCACAAACAGCTAATTAAATGGTTCAAGGGCTCATGAGAGGCAGCTGGAAAATGTCACTTTCCTAACTTTAACCTGTTTTCCCTTCCTTAAGTCAAGCTACCGCATTTTGCACAGAGTAACTTCTTAAAATCTATTATAGAAAACTGAACTGAAAACATAGTTCCCACTTCAGTTTTTTAACTTCAAGAGAGACCAGATGGTCAGGTCTCATCTAAAAAGTAACTATACATCTGTGGGCAACTTCTCAAGGCCTAATTTGATCACAATTTTGTTTAACTGGTGACACTGAGGTGGAAACAAAACTTGGCTTTCAAAATCCAGGGTTATTATTCAGGGATAGAGTTTAAGGCTACAAGGGGCCATGAGCACTTCTCCATGAGACTGATCTCCTGTGTACACAAGGCCATAGCCTTTTGTCCATTTACTCCTTATTGAGCTCAAGAACCTAAGGCATATTTAACTAAGGCATATTTTCCAGAAAGGCATCCAGTTTTGATCTGCAGACCTCAGGAGATAGAGAATCTACCATTTCCCTTGGAAGTCTGAGCCAACGTTTAATCACCTGCACTATTAGATACGTGTTTCTAATTTTAATTCACCCACCTTAAACTTCCAGTCCTCGGTTCTTGTTCTGCCTCTCTTCACTAAACTAAAAAGCCCATTAGTACCAACTATTTTTCCTCCATAAAGGTTCACTAATTAGAGCACCTTAGCTTATTAAAAAAAAATTAAGCACTGAGCTCCCAGCATTGCAATGGGAGCTCATGTTGAGTTGCTGGTCCACTATAACTTCTAACTCCCTTTCAAAGTCACTACTTGCCAGGATACAATCCCTCATTCTGTAGGTATGGCCTACATGAGGTCCTGCTTTGTGTTTTAATATAGCCAAATGCATTTTGTTGTATGGGTCCAGATTGCAAACAATCCAGATGACTGCCTTATTCTTGTTATTTACTATTCAGCTGGTCTATTCGTCATCTGCAAATTTTATCCACAGTACTTTTATACTGACTTCCAGATGGTTGACAAAAATACCGACTAGCACTGGACCTAATATTCAACCTCATGGAACACCTCTAGAAATAATCTGTTCAATATTTACTCACCAATACAACTATGTTTTAAGAGGTCTCAAGCTAGACAGTTCTTCCACTTCACATAGGGTTTGATACTAGATAGTAGTAGTATTTTAACCTTTTGGAATAATGACATAACTATGTATGTTTCCACTTTTCTGAATTTTTCCTGTTTTCTCTTCAGCCAAATCTTTTATAATTCTTGGATGCAAATCATTCTGAAGACTGAAAAAGGTTTATTCCTAGTAGATGTTGTTTTAAATCCTTATTAATAAATAATACTGGAAAGTATTTCAAAATGTTCCTGCGTCAAGAGTACATCATCCTAACTACTGAACACTTCTGCCTTTCCTGTGTTATTAACCATTTTATTATATTCATCTATTAATGGGCCTGTACCTCTGCTAGACCTCACCCTCCCAGTTGGTTAACAAAAAATCCATGTTATTAATCTTAGCCCTACCAACGATGGATTTTTTTCCTGATATCATTAATTTTATTCTTTTTTTTAAACAGAATTTTCACAAAATCATTTTTTCAAAAGCAGAAAAGCACACATTTCTCCTACCTACTCAGTTCATTCCCAAAGAAAAGTCAATGACACATCAAAAGGTATGTTGCAAATTAGATGTTCCATTTTGAGTTACCCGGTAATTTATCCCAAAGTTAAAATTCCACAAGCATACATGACTTGCATTTACCTGTGTTATTACATTTCCACTTCTCCAAGGAGAGGATAGCTCTGGCAGGTGCTAAGAATGCAAAAGCACTGGCTTGAAACAAAGGTAACCTGAAGGAAATGGAAAGAGAAAATACAGACATTTATATTTTGCAACATGATAGTAGTTGGTGCATCTACACAGCAGGGCTTAACGCGAAATAAGCTATGCAAATTGAGCTACGTCAATTACACAGCTTATTTTGAAATAGCTTATTTCGAAATTGGGAGTGTCTACACAGCACTTATTTCAAAATAGAGCACTCCTCCTCCGACTTACCTTATTCCTCATACAATGAGGGTTACAGGAGTTGGAGTAAGAAGTCCTCCAGCTTGACAGTATTTCAACTTCATTTAGAAATAACTGTGTAGATGCAGCCTAAGTTATTTTGAAGTAAATTATTCTTTATTTAAAGGAATACAAAACACCATCCAGAGATTTAGAAAAGTATTAAATACAATCACAGCTATTGTCAGTAACAAATGTTACCAAACACTGGTACGCAAATACCAAATGTTGGTACAACAAGACCTTTATTCAACGGGGGGGTGGGGAGAGAAGTAGCACATATTGTCCGGGGCACTTGGAACTGAAAGTACACAAATACAGTATGTGAAGTGTTAAGTTTCCCTGTGAAATGCAAGTTATTCTTCACATAGTTTGAAAAAGTGATACATCTTAATTAGATGGGCTAGGATTAAAAGCATATATAGACTGATCATTGAGTTAATGTCTAAATAGCTGTAATGTAGGCAAAAACTATACATTCCATGTGAGTAAGAATAATAGACCTGGAAACAAATGATTTTAAAGAGCTTATATAAATTTACAGAAAGGTTTTAAAAATGACATCCATCTGTAGAGAACGATAGCTGTATAAATTCAGTAAGCTACAACTTGAACATATTAAAACAGCAAAAGACATTGCTTAACTATGTAAGAACAACACTTTGATCTGTTCTCTACATACTCTTGGAAAGATGGTCACACAGTTCTCCTGAAAAATAAATCAACTCGGACACTTGCTGCCTACCCCTGCTCTTCCAGCAACAATGGAAACTCCTGATGCCTGCAGAACCAGCTGCACAGGAAAGGAGCAAGACTAGCAGGCTCAGCTTGGGCTAACAAATACCACAAGGAAGTGAGAACAGAGTGAGGTGAACAAGGAGAGGGCGAGGAGCTAGAAAACAGAGGATATAGGTCTGGACATCATGCATCAACTTCATCTGTTTGCAGGAAGGAAGAGGGATCAAGGGGTAGGGTTGCCAGGTGTCCGGTTTTCGCCCGGACAATCCGTTTTTTCTGGACCCTGCCCGGTTTCTCTCGGAAGACTGGCAGGGACAATCTTCCCCTGCTGCATCTGGCGTGGGGAAGCGTGGAGTGCGGGGATTCGTAAAGGCATATCACTTTTTTTTTTGCTCAACAAGTTTGGTCTCCCAGTTTTTGGGAGGGTGGGGGGTTTGCCATGTTCGGGATTTTTGGTGAAAGCATCTGGCAAGCCTATCAAGGGGAGGTAGTGCACGAGATTCATTTACAAGAAATGGCCCCCACACTGACAATTTAGGCTTTTTGTATGTACTGGCAGCATTCAGACCACATGTGAAAGGCCATGACTTTGCTTGGTTTGTGAGACCTCTGCTTTGGCTTGAGTTCCTATATTGGCTACTCAAAGCAAAAATCTAAAGCTTACCTATGGCAAAGAGAAACAAAGTGATTCACCTCATCACTTTAAGCTTCATTGGACAAACTGAGCACACAGCCTATAGCAAAATGCTATCTGAAACAAGCTGCTACTGCACCCCTCCTTTATCCTACTCCCCTCCCCTTTTACAAATCCTTTCATTAAAATACCTCATAGAAAAATTCTTCAATAATGAAGTCAGTTTTAGTGTTTCAGCTTGACTCCAGATGGGTAATTTACTCCATGCAGAAGAAGCTTTTCAATATAAATGTAATTCGACCTATAATATGCACATGTTGTTGGCATTCAAAGCTTCCTTTCAAATAATTAGATATCAATCTATTCTCTGAATATTAAATAGTCACTGAAGCCTGGACTTCTGCTCTGTCAACTTGCCTTCATTGGACAAAAAACTTCTTCACAGATAAATTTACATTATAAAATGGTAAAATTGCAGGGTCTTGGAAGACATCAATGCAAAAGAATCCAGGAACTGAATTTTTAATTGTTTTTAATCGAATATAGCTGTTATGTGAAGTGCTGAAAGATGTTCCCAGCTGTGGAGATTAAAAAAAAAATAATTGTTTAGATTTTCATGTAAATCACTGTAGCTCTGATTCAGGAAAGCATGCACACATGTGCTTAAGTTAATCTTTGGGATATTCTGCTTTGATACTTTTTTTGGTACGTTATCTAATGTTGTTTTGCATGACTGACTCCTCAGTCGTTGGAAGTCCAATCTGACCTCCTGTATTTATCAGAGTTTTTCCAGCAAAGTACCTGCTCTGTTTTTTTTCTAACCAGAAATGGACATATAAGCTACCTTAAATTGTTACCAGAATAAGTGAGTGAACAACTAACAATCAGTTATCGTTCAAAACAGCTAACATTAGTATTGGCCTTGGTTAATAGGTTGGAACATATTCCATAAAATATATTTCCAGTTTTCAAGTCCCACACATACTGGATAGGATTTATGCTACCTACTGTCTGTCAAACAAAATCTCATTTGCAATGAGTTATTTCAATTGGCGTTATAGTGTGGTACTTTAGTCCTTAGTCCTATTTCTAATATTTGCACTGCCAGTCAATTCATAGGAAGTAAATTCTGATGTAACACCGAGATCAACATAATTGCTGCAAAAACAAAGGACAGTATAAAAGGCGAAAGCACCCTTATTGACTCATCAAACTGCACTGACTATTCGATAAGCCAAATAATTGAAACTTTACATCACTAATTTAGAGGTGAAAAGTCTAACAGCAAGCCTAGAATCATAGAATCATAGAACTGGAAGAGACCTCAGAAGGTCATCAAGTCCAGCCCCCTGCTCTAGGCAGGACCAATTCCAACTAAATCAACCCGGCCAGAGCTTTGTCAAGACGAGACTTAAACACCTCTAGGGCTGGAGACTCCACTACTTCCCTAGATAACCCATTCCAGTAATTCACCACCCTCCTAGTGAAATAGTTTTTCCTAATATCCAACCTGGACCTCTCCCACCACAACTTGAGCCCATTGCTCCTTGTTCTGCCATCTGTCACTACTGAGACCAGCCTCTCTCCATCCTCTTTGGAACCTCCCTTCAGGAAGTTGAAGGCTGCTATCAAATCCCCCCGCACTCTTCGCTTCTGCAGACTAAAAAGACCCAAGTCCCTCAGCCTCTCCTCATAAGTCATATGCTCCAGCCCCCTAATCATTTTGGTTGCCCTCCACTGGACCCTCTCCAATGCGTCCACATCCTGAACTAGGGATGCAAGGAATTAACTGGCAGGGGCTGGAGCAGGCAGAGGCGGCTGGAGCTGGCCCGCCACAAACAGGGGCCGCCCAGGTGTGCCTGTCATAGGCAGGGGCCACTCAGTCCAGCCCCTCTTTTAATCAGTTAACTGGTTCAACATCACATCTAACCAATTCAACAGGATTTTATATTCCTATCCTGAACTAGGGGTCGCACACTTTGTAGCTTGTGTAGGCTGAGCTCAATGCACACACAAGGGGCTCCAAACATTCTTCCCTTCCTCCCCCTGCTTTCTCCTCCACTACTGCAGGGACTCTCTGAAAACTCCCCCAATCTCTTCTTTGCACCAGGGAATCTGTGCACCCCCTATTCCTCCCATACAGCATCCCCCATGTACACAAACTCCAGTAGCTTTGTCTGCACCCTTTTTCCCCACTATCCCCAAGTTATCCATTCCCCTCCGTGACATTCTGGCCAATTATTCCTGTAGCACTGAAATGCTAAAGTTGATCAGGTGCAACGCTCAGAAGTTATTGTGCTAAACACATATAGAGAAATGCTACTGCAGGGAGCATAAAGCTTCCACAAGGCAGCAGCGAAGAGGTTAAGGGCGGCATAGCGTTGTCACCCTTACTTCTGTACTATCACTGGTGGGACACTGCCATCAGAGCTGGGAATCCAGCTAACAGCTGCTGCTATGCAGAGACCCAGCTCTGAGGTCAGCACAGAAATAAGGGTGGAAACACCATGACCTTTGAGGTCGGGATTCCCAGTCTGAGAAACATTTGTCTCTGCTGTGAAATCCATATAGTAGAGATGGGCAACCTAGGCTAGCGAGTGAGCTGCACGAGTGGCCACCTCCATCTCAGTGGGCTGCAAGATCATCATAACCAAGACAGTCTCCCAGTTTAGGGTGGTTCTGCCAACTGCACCTGCCTACCTAGAATTTGCAGGGTGAACCCACTGAACCAAGCAGCATTTTGATTTAATGCCGAGGGAACACACGGCTCTCTCAGTCAATGTTGTGTACAATCAGCATGCGCCTCACTTCACATGACTTTGCTTTACATGTGTGTCACATCAGTAATACCAAGAGGAAAAAAACCCTACACAGGCAGAAGCCAGCAGAAACCAGCAACGCTGCACATGGGCTACAGTAAAGAAAATGTCTTGCAGGCCACACTTAAAACCCCAGTGGCCCACAGGTTGCTCACTACTGTCATGCAGTAAAGGGACACAAATTTGGTAGGGTTAGGGTTAGGGTTTAAGATGTAATATCAAGGTCAACTCAATTTCCTAGTGATTAAGGTTTTCTATTGATGCCAGATTTTGAATAATTAAAATGTTGTTTTGAAATGGTCTAGCTCAGTGTTTCTCAACCAGTGGTATGAGTACCCTGAGGGGTACTCAAGAGAAGTCTGGGGGTAACGTCAACACAACTGAAATGTGGAGAAAACTGAATTTTTGTTTTAAGATTTACAGTGCTTTATTATTTTTGTACTTTTTATACCCAAATATTTCCTCACCCGTCCAGCTTCCTGTATGTTATCAATCAGCAAACCTCAGCAGAATCTGTGAACTCCTTCAATCCCTCAGCTGTATTAACATACAGTGATATGCACCTCTGTCTTACAATTCTTTGCCAAAAGAT